GAGACAGTGAGACAGTGAAACAGTGAGACAGTGAAACAGTGAGACAGTGAAACAGTGAGACAGTGAAACAGTGAGACAGTGAAACAGTGAGACAGTGAAACAGTGAGACAGTGACTGTGAGACAGTGAGACTGTGAGACAGTGAGACAGTGAGACAGTGAAACAGTGAGACAGTGAGACTGTGAGACAGTGAGACTGTGAGACAGTGAAACTGTGAGACTGTGAGACTGTGAGACAGTGAAACAGTGAGACAGTGAGACTGTGAGACTGTGAGACAGTGAGACAGTGAGACAGTGAGACTGTGAGACTGTGAGACAGTGAGACAGTGAGACTGTGAGACTGTGAGACAGTGAGACAGTGAGACAGTGAGACAGTGAGACAGTGAGACAGTGAGACTGTGAGACAGTGAGACAGTGAGACAGTGAGACAGTGAGACAGTGAGACAGTGAGACAGTGAGACAGTGAGACAGTGAGACTGTGAGACTGTGAGACAGTGAGTGACAGAAACAGATATATTCATGAACTCTGTTCTTGTTTATGATCAAGTTTTCTGTAGAAACAGAGGAAATCAGATTATTCTAATCCTAATCTCACACAGTAAAACCCAGAATCACTTACATCAATCTCTCCTTCATCGATCTCTCCATCATCTTCCTCCTTCTTCTTGTCTCTGAAGGAATCTCTGCGGAGCCTGTCAGGCCTGGACTCGTCCCTCCTCTTTGACTCAGGCTCTCTGGGAGATGGAGGGAGGATGGGTTTCTTCTCCTTTCTGCTCTTTACTTCCCTCTCCTGCTGCTCCTCCTCCTCTCCTCCTTCTGCTCTGGTGTCTTCCTCGTCTTCCTCTTCATCGTGCACAGGGACGCTGGGCTCTTCAGGTACCTCCTCATCATAGTCCAGCTCGTGTTCGTCCAGCTCACGAGACACGGACGCAGAGTCGTCCTTCATGTCCCTCACTGCAGCGGCTCGTCTCTCTTCAGCTCTCCTCATGTCCTCCACCTGGTTCAGACCCTCCTCTTCATCAGGACCCTCCACTGCTGCTCGCTCTGCAGAGACGTCCTTCCTGTAAACGTCTTCTGCATCGTCTTCAGACTCGTCGAGGTGCCTGACTTGGTCTATCTCCGAGTCCGGAGACAGAGGAGTGTCAACAACTCCATCCTCTTCCTCATACAAGTGAGCTCTCTGTGGAACCTCATCATCATCATCATCATCATCATCATCATCACCATCCATGAGCACGATGGTCTCCTCCTCCTGTCCCTCTGCAACCGGCTCCTCGTCTTCTGGGTCAGAGATAAAGTCAGGGACCACCTCGTCCTCAAAGTCCAGGCCTCTCCCGTGGCTCTCTGCTGCTTCATCTTCGTCGTGGAGCAGCTCGCTGTCTGAGAGGACTCTGTCCTCGTCTTCATCAGGAGACTGCAGCAGCTCGCTGTCAGAAAGAGCCCTGTCCTCCTCCTCAGGAGACTGAGGAGACTGTGTGGGGCTCTCAGGAGGATCCATCAGAGAAGGTTCTGATGGGAAACACAAGGTTCTGTAAGAACACAAACATCATGTTCCAGTTGAGCTTTACACTGTGAGAGCAAATACACCCATCAGCCAAAACATTATGACCACTGACAGCCCAGAGAAAAACAAACACTGGTAGCTGGCAGAGTTGTAAAGTAACTAAGTACAAATACTTTGTTACTGTACTTAAGTAGAAACTTTGGTTATCTGTACTTTACTTAATTATTTTTCAGCGTACTTTTTACACAATTATCTGTACTTTCTACTCACTACATTTTTAAAAAAGGTAAGAAGTAGAAAGTTGTTACTCCTGTTTTATTCTGAGTTGTTATAAAAAATCCTCTCCTGATAAACTGTGTCTCCTATAGAGTGAATTTAATTGTGTTTGGATGAGAAGTATAAATATATACCATTCTGACACACTATTAGCTTGTACACAACCCATCACAGCTGCACGCTGTTAGAAAATATAGTTTTTGGAGAAGTCACCTCCCAATAAATGTCATTTTGGAAAATCTAACTGCTCACTTTTACTCAGTACTTTTACTTTTTAATACTTAAGTAGATTTTGTGTCAGAAATTTACTTTTGATACTTAAGTACAAAAAAGCAGATACTTTAAGACTTTTACTCAAGTAATATTTTTAGAAGACTTTAAGTTTTACCAAAGTACTTTTATGTTTAGATACTTGTACTTTTACTCAAGTATCACTTTGAGGTACTTTATACAACACTGGTAGCTGGAGACTGGATCAGAACAGATCTGCTGTTAATCTGAGAAAACAGACTAAAAATGATGCAAAGGAGGAGATGTGGAAAAACAGGGCCAGGGTTAAGAGTGATGACCACTGATGCAGGTCTGGACTGAACCCTGACCCTCGCTGTTCCGATCCAACAGAAGAGCTGGTTAAGATCCAAAATGGTGAAAAGGTTCCTGCAGGTTCTGATAATAGAACCCATCTCAGTTTGTTGTGTTTGTGTATCTGTTTGTGTATCTGCAGAAGGTTCAGGGGGTCCGTGCAGACCTGGGCCCACCTCCTAACACTACTGAGCATCATAAACTGGACCATGGAGCAGGTAGTGTTCTGGTCAGATGGATCAGGGTCCATGTTTGTTGGATGTTACTAAACACACCAACATGTCCTCCAACACCAGACCTCAGATTCACACATTACTGGGAATCAAAGCCATGAAAATAACTCAATGTTATTTATAAATCACTTTTAAAAACAGCTACAATCTGCACCAAAGTGCTGCACAGCAATCCACATATGTGAGCCATCGTATCGAAACGAGGATTAAGTCAAATTAGGTCAAAATGACCTAATTACATTTTCAGGTTCTTGTCTTTAAAAGCTACATTTTGATACCTGGATCATTCTGATGTCATAATTAAATCCATATATATGACTTAATTTGTCTTGTTGGTTACAATAATACATAAATAT